ACCTCCTATGAAAAGACTACGGAACGACGCTAACACCAGGCCAAGCAATCCGGCTACCCAAAGGCTGCCCCAGGGAAACAACGAAACTAGTACGAGGAACTTCTCATTCCCAAGGTGCAAAAAGGACCACAGAGGCAAGGACTGCATAGGAAATCCCTTACGATGCTTCAGCTGTGGAAAAGAAGGACACAAGTCCTTCCACTGCACTCAACCCTCAAACCCACGCCCCATAGCCATGGGCCAACGCGGAGGCACAAACAATCAAGGGAATTACGGTGCCCCCGGAAAAGTATTCGTCATGAGCCGCACTCAAGCCGAACTCGAAAACGAGGGCATCCTCGACGAAGAAAACACAGCCCCGGGAGAGAAAATCCCACTAACCAAACGGAAGAAAACCAAGAAGATGAATTTTGTCTAGGATAACTAGCAAATCCCTTGTAACCACCCTCATAGTAGAATTACTTGTTTAGATTAGCTATCCCGAAATTATTATAAATAAATAAGCAAATCAAAATAATTTAGCATAAAGAGAAAGGGGCTAGAATACCCCGAAAACCCGCATCAACAAACAAGAAGGACCAACCAAATCTTCTACCACTAGAAGACAAAAGAAGGAAAAAGACAAGGGATACACAACAAAGGAAACTAATGTCACCAATGGGGATTAAACTCTAAACTTCCCACTTATAAACCCAAGTCCCTAACTACTAAGCCATGAGTGTTTCTTGAAACCTTAAGGGAACACTCCCTTCTTAAACCCCTCCAAGTTCCTAAAACCCACACAAACCCCCAAATCAAAAGCCCTTCTTCTTCCCCCAAACACACAAACTCACTCTCTCTCCTCACCTCCACACAACACCGCCGGCGCCACCCGAGCACACCCCAACCACCCCGCCAACAGCCGCCGCCCAGCAAACACCACCGGCGACCACCCGCGCGAGTCGCCGCCACCGCCTGGAAGCTGCCTGCGATGGACCCGCTGCTACCGCCGCTCGGAGGACGCCCGTTGACCACCCACTGCCGCGTAACACCGCAACCCACGACGGCCAAGACCCCTGCCAACGATGCAGCCGCCTACACCACCCAGGTCAACCGCATCCTCGCCATCCGAAACCGAGCAAGTCGCCGTCTCGTCGCCGGAAAATCCTCGCCGGAATCCCGCCGAAAAAACAACACCGGAGAAGACGCCACCTTGGAAAAACCGTACAATGCCAAAAAAGCCCGTTGGTATCCGAACCCCGTATTGGAACGACGCCGATTACACGGTAATCAGAGGTAAAGCCCTCGAACCCGACCAATTCTCTCCGGAGTTGGTCGATATGCTTAAATTTCAAGGACTCTTGGATACGTATCTCACCATCAAAGGGGATACGTACCCCGAACTAGTGAAAGATTTCTATCACCACTTAGTGGCCGTCAAACGGGGTGATAAAGTGGAAATCACCGCAAAAGTCCGGGGCAAGGAGATAATACTCTCCGAGGGCCGCTTGGCCAAACTCCTAAAGCTGACCACCACAGGTGTGTCGGATTACGATCGAAAGGGATGGATCAGTATCCAAGGCACGGGGTATATGGACTACCTCGGGTACCTACTAGGAAAGGAAGAGGGCTTCACCTCGGCCACCCGGCCAAACAGGAAATGGCTAACTGCCGAGCAAAAGATACTAATCATGATTGTGACCGATAGCTTGTTGCCCACGAACAACAAAAGCAAAGATGTGGGAAGTTTAGAGTGTACTTTTGCCTACTTCCTAAAACACAGGATCAAGTTCAACCTACCGGCTCTCATGTTAAAGCACATGGAGTTTTTCAAATCTAGCAACCGGCTTAGTCTACCTTACGGAATGATCCTCAGTTGGATCATGGAGAAAAAGGGAGTGGACCTAAGCCACACAGAAATCAAACCCTTAAGCGGCATGGTTTTTAATGCACAGAACCTCCGTCGCAATGACATCTACTACACCAAAGAGGGGCAGTACATCACCCTCGAGGAGATTTGCCTTAAACCCGAGGAGGAGCGAAGAGAATTGGTTGATCGATTGGATATCTCCAACAAGAAACTTAAACGGGCAATGCAAGATTCTGGGGGACTAGGGGGAAATGAGGAACAGGAAGACGATAGCGAGCCTAACCCACCGGCACCCGCACGAGCAGGAGGAAACCCAAGGGGCCAAAATGAAGAATCCGTCAACGAGCGCATCCTCGCATAGCTCACCCGGCAAAACCAAATCATGGACGAAGGGTTCTCGTCCTTAATCCACGAAACACGCGCTTTAGATCAGAGGGTGAAAACAATCGAGACCATATTGGGCACTCGCGAGGCATCCAGTTCAGGAGTAGGAAACCAAGGTAGACCCGAACTTTCCAATCACCACGTCACCAGAAATCCAATCTACCCCAGCAAGGACAACACGTGGGGCCACATTCCTAATCAGGAGGCCAAAATACAGGACGTTCAGGGATGAAGGAATGGATTCACGCACCGGCTTCGGGGACGAAGCCTCTTGTAATGGGGGAGAGTGTAACACCCCGTGTTACGACCCCTAAACCAAATTAATTAATTAATTACTCACCCCAAAAACGGAATTAAAATACATTAATTAGCTAAAAGAGGGTCCACCATAGTCCATGGGCCCTTATCCTTAAAGCCATCCCTTAGTCCTATAGGAAATAGGATTAGCAAACCCATGCCATTTAGACCAAATTAAGACTCTTAGGTATATAAATAGGGACATAGGAGGCACCTAGAACTCACACCACAATAAACTCTCACCACACAAGAATTCCCAAGAATTCCCAAGAATTCCCATAGGAGAAATCAAGAAAGAAAAAATCTTAAAGAAAGACCCTTCATAGCCAAGGAAATTAATTAAGGCTAAGAGGTAACCCATGTCTCAACAAAACCTATTTTCCTTGTTATGATCTCCTTCTTTGGCTCCCTCTATATACTTGTGTCTTGATGAATTTCTTTATGATATTTGTGATATAATTTTGATTGATTGAGGTGATGATTTTATGAGGGATCTTGATGTTAAAAAGTGGTTCTTGATGTTTGTGTGATGATCCTTGATAAATCTTGATGTTTCCTGATGTTAAAAATAAAATATGATTTTGATGGATTGGATGGGATTAGAACCCTAGGTTGGTTTGGGAATTTATATTGTGATGTTCTTGATTTATATTTGGATGGGAATTGGCATGCTCGGATGTTGTTCGTGTCTAGAAACCATGTTAGGATATGTTCAATATGATTCTTGCTTTCGGTCCATTAATTGCCTATGTAATGTCGTTAATTGCGTTTAAAATTATTTAAGCATGGTTTCAGGTCCCACATAGGATCCCGGGACGTATATTGAGCTAAAGAGTTAGTGGGGGTAGGTGGGGGTAGGGGTACCCGCCACCTACCCGATGCCCGAGTTTACCGCCAGGCAGCGGGCAGCCGGCGGACAGGCGTTTGCCCGGCAGCCACCCGCTGCCCGGAAGTTCACCACCGGCGGGTGACCCCCACCCACCGGCTACCCGCTGGTCCATACCCATCCCGGGTCCCCGGCTTCCCCGTTTGGTGTTCCCCATTCCCCGTTGTGTCCCAACAGGATCCCGTTTGTCGTGCTTGAGTCTAGTTTGATATTTTGGGTGCCATTCGTAGGATAGAAGAGTCTTAGGATTTGCATGCTAGTTGAATCGGTAACCCGTCGACCTAGGTGGAAGTTGTATGAACCTCTTAAGACTGTTCTTAGTATGTGAATGATCACGCGTAAGCTTATTTATATGTCTCCCCCTTCCCAATATGCTATTATGTGCTACAATGTGTTATGTGATGCATGATTCCCCAATTTGGTTGCGATCAAATTGGCTATATGGGCAGTTGGATGGGTTGAGAACCATACCAACTGTTAACCAGGCCGGTTGCGATCGGTCAGGTATATAAATATTATATAGGGCTGCGGTCCACTGTTTGGTTGTACATGAGCTGCTGTTCATTTTCCTGGCTGCGGTCAGTGATTCACTTCTTGGGCTACAGCCCACGGGCCTCGTGTGCGGATGGTCTACCGACTGAACGCGCCAGCGGTGTGTAGGGCCACCAGCCTAAGGAAGACCATAGCCCACCGAATGAGTGATCAGGCGGTGTGTAAGGCTATGGTTGGCTACGATCCACCGAGTGAAGGGCTAGCAGTGTGTAGGGTCGTAGTCCCTGAGGATCTTCGCCCACCGACTGAGTCCCTCAGCGGTGTGTAGGGCTTGATTCGCTACGATCCACCGACTATGCTCATCAACGGTGTGTAGGGTCATAGTCCCCATAAGAGGATCGCAGTCCACCGACTGAGTGCGCCAGCGGTGTGTAGGGCTATGATCCGCCGTCGAGCTTTCGGCGGTCTGTACGGTTGCATTACTACAAAAAAGGGCTTTAACGTCGGGTTTTTTACCCCATTTAACATCGGTTTTCGACCGACGTCTAGGTAGCAGACGTCATAAATAATGAGATACGACGTCAGTTAAAAAACCGACGTCGTATAATTTTTAAATTATTAATATTAACATACGACGTCGGTTATTAAGAAATAACCGACGTCGTAAATGTTGTAAAATTATTTTTAATTAAGAAAAGACGTCGGTTTTTATAAAAAACCGACATCGTATATTTAATAAAACAAAAGAAATTAACATAAGGCGTCAGTTTTTATGAAAAAACCGACGTCTTTTGTTAACTTTAAAAATTAAAAAAAAAATAAACGTCGTCAGTTATTTATAAATAACTGACATCGTTTATTTTTTTTATCAATTTTCCACCCAATTAATACAGCTTTTACAATTCACAACAATGTTCTTAACCTGTCCAGCAATTTGATATTCAAAGTCTCACAATTAATCAAAACTAATAAATCTTACAATTAATTTAAAAGCAATTCATACCATCAACTAATCAAGTTAAATTTATGGTAATTCTACAATTGATAATAATAATAATAATTTCAAACTTAAATTATCAACATCAACTAAACTTCAAGGATTGCTTTAAGCCATTCATCAATAAAATACTTACATCATACATCTCTAACTTCATCAATAGGCTTGCTCCATGGATACACCTATTAATATAAAACATAAAATATGTATAAGTACTTGGCATCACTATATCAATAATAACTATTAATTATTTATAAATTTGCATACGTTTCCATTATCTCTTTAATGTCATCACATGGCGGGTGACCAAGTGAATCAAACTAAAATATTTCATATAATGAAGGACAAACCGCCATCAACATTCAATGTCACTACAAAAATAATAATTAATTTATTAGTATTAAGTGAACATAATATATACTATAACTATATAATTGTATTTAAAATGTAATTAATACTTGTGAACATATTGACCTTTAAGGATCACCGGAAAAAACCCAACACGTCAAGAAAAAGAAAAAGCTTACACAAATGGTAATAAATGTAAGTATAAAGGAAAAGCTATCATTTTCAGACAAGGAAAATCATTGAAGAAAAGTTCCTTACCACATTGTGCCATACTGCAAAAGTTTCATCATCGTCTTCACAAACACTAATCCATAATCTATCAGCTGGGAGTCCATATCTATAAGCAACCATATAAGCAACCATAATCTAATGCTTGGCCTGCAGTTGAGGTTCTTTCCCATGAAGTTGTTGGCCTCAATGTCTCAAGTGCAGATGCAATGCGGTCTTTGAATGTATCCACCTACAAATAGAGTGTCTGAGATGGAGATACAGATGTGGGATTGAACTCTATAAAATCAGCAATCAATGAAACAAATGAATATTATCCTCTCATAACCTGCAAAAAGCTGATAGTAGAAATGGACAATAGCTTCCTTATTCATCTTCCCCATCGATTTTAGTTCGACAAAAACATAACAACAATAGCTTCCTTAATCATTGAGAAACAATAACAATCGCAAGAACCTGTCAAACATACAGGAGCTAGAAATGAAGATAAGGGCATGCCAGTGGTTCAGTAACTATTGCAAAGTCACAAATCTAAAGTACTGATGCTTTAGATAAATTCAGGTTGTGAATAACAATTTGCATGCACTTTAACACATTATGGAAAATATATATATATATATATATATATATATATATATATATATATATATATATATATATAAAATCATAAGAGTGTGTGCATAGAAAGACAATTCATAAAGGAAAGGTTTTGGTTATTGTCAAAGCAATGATTATGACCAAAAACATTTTTGTTCCAGATTGCTGCTACCTTGCTACCTCTCAAAGCAGTATATGTACATAACAAGTAGCTTTTCTTACCCACAATTCCACTTGAAGTCTCCTTCACAATAGACATTAAAGGCTTCAAGAATTACTACTAATATAGCAGTAAACGTTTTAACTATCATCTGCCACCAAAATTTGTGTGTATTGTCATAATTTACTCAAGTAAGAGATGATTGATAGTTTATGGAGGCATTATACCAGTCAAGTAGCATACTTACATATTGGACAATCCCAAACTTGAAAACTCGGTAAACCTAATTACCCAGTTTCCAGGGTTTGAAAAGATAATTCATTGGAAATGGATGCTTTATAATTCCCTTCTCATGGCCATGATCTAGTAGGGGGTGCCTTTGAACCTTCACGCCCTTGCCTCTGCATGAATCTTATAGCTCTATCTTCCCCACCTACAAATCTTATTGAAAGTGTTCATTACTGCACAGCAATTTTACTACTCACATACATTTTCAACTTTCAAGAATGATATATCTGGTACATTCAAATAGAGATAAAAGATAGAATTTATCAACACTTTCTTTCCTTGAAACAATATGATACTGATACTGATACTATGTGCTAGGTATTATGCTGAAATTTTATGCTTAGTTCTAAAATTAGCATGGCAAAAGCTGTGACCTAGTCGCATGGAAAACAAATGTCATGGGCTGGCACAGAAAGATGTAAAACATTATAAAAGAATAACAACAGGCATAGACAGTAAATATTTCCAAAAGACAGGAGAATATTTTAAAGAAGTTTACCATAGAAGAGAGAGCTTCAAGCCCAGCACAACGTAATTTCAGTACTCTTTCCTCATCTCCCATCTCTTGAGGAAGAAGACAGATTTTTGGTATTAAGCCTTCTAAGTTAAACATGTATGTGGCATCAAGCTATACATTACAGAAGATAGTGCATAAGATCTATTGATTTTTAGAAAATTTGTTAGTTCTTTCAGTGGTGATTAACATAGTGACAAAATGAACCAGTAACTACCTGATTATTTATGAAGTCAAACAGTGATTCACATCCAACAATGCGCATTTCATCATGTGCCATTTG